CACATCAAATCATTGCCTAATTAGAAAGATACTTGTCTCTTCCTTGATCTTAGGTTTCCAAAGGAGCTTTCCAGCTAACTTAAGTGTTGGGCAGTACTTACGTTAATAATAACAGCTAGTGTTTATGGGTTGCTTTCTCTCTTACTGGCAGCAGGTAAATGAATGACATTTATTATCTTATTTATTCCCCACCACAAACCTTTTGAGTCCGTACTCATATTATTCCAAATCTAAAATGAAGAAACAGGCTGAAAGAAGGTGAATAACTTACCAAAGGTCATCCCCCCAGCGAGTGGCAGAGCCGGGCATACATACAGTGCTATCTGGCTTTCGAGGTCACCCCTGGGCCACCGTGCCATAGACTGTCCGCAGCAAGGGTGGGGGTTATTGGAGGGGCTGAGCTCAGTCACCCTTCAGGAGTTGGAGGAGTGAGCGGCTACCAACACTTACCCGGTAACAGAACTTTTTCAAGATGCATTCTAGCACCACCCTCAGCTTTTTGTGTTTCTTTCACAATTTGGGACTGGTATTTTCAGCTGTATTTAGGTCTCTTCTGTTAATTCTTCGGGGGTCCCTCTCTCTTATCCACCTTGCACACCTTCTTGGCCCTGTGCCCCGGTCACCAGCGTGCTCCTCTTCCTCCCAGCCTACCTGGGCTCCACTGTTGGACTTTCATCAACAGCCATTTCTGTTTCCTAATTGAAATGAATTCAGATGTCTCCAGTTGTACCTTCCCTCCATGTTCTGGCTCCCTCTCTCTGTAGACCAGTATTTCTCAGCTTTTTCTTTTTTCATTATTGGCATACTAACGAGCCCTTTTAGACTATTTTTCCTAATTGCTCCCCACCCATGGACTTTTACTCCCACAGATAGACTGTTTATCTGTATGTATAGGTGTGCTTTACACAGAAGAGTAAGGTTTTTTGCCCCCAAAGGACTAATGTTTGCCCTGCTGAGGGGGATACCACACACTTTGATTGTGCACACCTATTTCCCATGGCTGCTTTACATTCTGGATGCCTTATCTCCCCTCTGACCCACGAACACACCTGCTATGTGTCTCCTTACTTCCATGATTTTGTTCAAGCTTTGGGTTTCACTTTTATTGAAACAACATTTCCCCCCTAGTTATCAAAATGCTATAAGTTCACCATGGAACATCAGGACAATACCACAAATAGGAGTAGAAATCAAAGAATCCCTGTATGCCCATCACTTACAAATGAAGAAATGACAGCTGTTGGTAAATTTCCTATTGATTTTGTCCAGGATTATGTTTTTCTTTTCTTTCCATTGTCTTTTTTTCTGACACTAGGTTTATCCTACTGTTGTGTCATGTAGCACTCTTTCATGTGCTTTTTTCAGTTCACATTATATCATCCCTATTTTTCATGTTATCAAACTTTTTTGAAAGCATACTTCTAATGACTACAAAATAATCATGTGAGGCCGGGTGTGGTGGCTCACGCCTGTAATCCTGGCACTCTGGGAGGCTGAGGAGGGAGGATTGCTTGAGCTCAGGAGTTGGAGACCAGCCTGAGCAAGAGCGAGACCTGGTCTCTACCAAAAAAGTAGAAAAAATTAGCCAGGTATGGTGGTGTATACTTGTAGTCCCAGCTACTCGGGAGGCTGAGGCAGGAGGATCCCTTCAGCCCAGGAGTTTGAGATTTCAGTGAGCTATGATGACACCACTGCACTCTAACCTGGGCAACAGAGCAAGACTCTGTCTCAAAAAAAAA